GTAACAGACAGGGAAGACAAAACAAACCAAAACAAGCAGGGAGGGGAACAGAGAGAACACACACACCCCGCATCCCAACAAAAAATTGTCGCAAACTGAATAGAATAGAATAGAATAGAATAGAAACCTTTATTGTCATTGTATACAAGATACAACGAAATTGGACATGCTGCTCCTAATGGTGCACAACAACAATTCCACATTAAAAAAAAGTATCACTCATACACACACGTTCCACATTAAAATAGAGTCCATAGTGCAATACTGCATCTATCAGCAGTAGTCAGGTGCAATAGCAATAAAGTGCAGACAGAGAAAAAACAAAACAAGAAAAAAGTCAGTGAGAGTTTATTGCAGTAATGGCCTGGGGGAAGAAACTGTTTCTAAATCTGGATGTGTGTATTTTGATGGACTGATAGCGCCCGCCTGAGGGCAGCAGCTGAAACAGGTTATGGCCAGGGTGAGTGCAGTCTTTTGAGATGGTGGAAGCTCTTTTGAGGTCGCGAGCAGTGGCGATGTCATTTAATGAGGGAAGTGAGCAGCCGATGACTTTTTCAGCTGTGCGGATGATGCGTTGTACTGAGTGTCTCTCCACAGCTGTGCTGCCTGTGTACCAGACTGTAATGTTGTATGTTATGATGCTTTCAATGGCTGACCAGTAAAAGGCCACAAGCAGCTTCTCCTCCAGGTTGTTCCTCCTCAGCAGCCTGAGGAAATGGAGACACTGCTGTGCCTTCTTGGTTATTTCTGTGGTGTTGATGTTCCAGGAGATGCTGTTGGATATGTGGAGCCCCAGGTACTTGAAAGAGTGAACCTGCTCCACACATGCGCCATTAATCCACAGTGGTGATGGGTCTGCCTTGTGTTTTCTCCTAAAGTCCAGGATGAGTTCTTTTGTTTTGGTTGTGTTTAGTTCCATGTTATTTGTGCCGCACCACCTCGACAGTCTTTGGATCTCGTCTCCGTAATTGGACTCGTCTCCCCCTGTTATGAGTCCAATCACAACCGTGTCATCCGCAAACTTAATGGTGGTGTTAGTCGGGTGGGCTGGGGTGCAGTCGTGGGTGTACAGAGAATAGAGCAGATGACTCAGCACACAACCTTGATGTGCACCAGTGCTGAGCGAGATGGAAGAGGAGAGGTGCGTGCCAAGTCTGACGGCCTGTGTCCGGTTCGTGAAGAAGTCAGTAACCCACATGCAGATGGAAGAGGGGAGACCCAAGTGGAGCAGCTTGTCGACCAAGATGTTTGGAAGAATGGTGTTAAATGCAGAGCTGTAATCGATGAACAGCATCCTTACATAGGTGTCCCGCTGCTCCAGGTGACTCAGCGCCGCATGTGTTGCCATGGAAACTGCATCCTTGGTGGACCTGTTTGCTCAGTAAGCATATTGGTTAGGATCGAAGGATGATGGGAGACAAGACTTGATGACATGAGAGACCAGTCTCTCAAAGCACTTCATGATGACTGATGTTAGTGCTACTGGCCTTTAGTTGTTTAATGTAGCGTTCACACCGGGCGCGAGTGAAGCGAATTTCTCGCCGCCTGTAACGCGTGAGTTTAGACGCCTGACCATTTTGTTAATTCGCGTTATCGCGTCATTCGCGCGAATAGCGGGGAAGCTGGCTGTGCTAACTGGAGCTAAGCTAGTGCTAACGTTCATAGTACAACCATTCTGCAAACTAATTAAGGACACATATTTACAGAACTTACCAAGTAGACCAGTCTCCTCGGCGACTTTCACCCAAGCCTGCTCCTTTTTGTTGCAGTCTCTGCAGAGTAGACACGTAGTATCATATAGCTCCGGGTAGCCGCACACCGCAATGATAAGTTTCTCCTCCATCTCGGCATCAACAACTGGACGTCAGGGTGTCAAGACATCACTGACGACCATGGCTGAGATAACCACCATTGCTGCTTTGTACCTGCTCTGGAAGTCCCAGATGCGTCGGAGGGCCAAACACCGTCGTTTTTGGGTTCACCCTATCCTGCATTAGCGCATCCAGCTCGGCGAGTTTCACCACCTCCTCCAGGAACTCCGTCTGGATGATAGCCGCTTTCAGCGGTACTTCACGCTGACTGGGGCCCAGTTTGAGGACCTGTTGGCGAGGGTTGGCGCCAGGATCTCCTGGCAGGACACCAACTACAGGCGCTCCATTTCAGCTGCGGAGCGTCTGTCCATCTGTCTCCGGTGAGTAGCAGTTTATTGTTGTGTCAAGAACTGGACGTTGTTGACACACGCCGGTGACGTCGGGAGAATCGCAACGCTGATTGGCTTTCGCGGCACAGCGTCATGCGAATTCGCCTCAAAAGTTCAATATTTTCAACTCGAGCGATGAGACGTTGGACGAGAATTTCGCGTCTATCGTGCCACGCTAGACGCCTCTATTGCGTCGCGCTAGACGCGTCCATCACGCCGCCCGGCGCGAATTCGCGTCTAATCGCGTCTTTGCATTGACTTTGTATGTAATCTCGACGCGCGAATATGCGAATTCGCGTTTGGTGTGAACGCCCCATAAGTCACCTGCAGGGGCTGTCTTTTTAGGCACAGGAACAATGATGGCAGATTTGAGGCAGGGTGGTATAATGTTCTGAGACAGAGAGGTGTTAAAGATCAAAGTGAAGACCCCAGCAAGCTGACTAGCACAGGATTGAAATACCTTGCTCGGTATCCCGTCAGGTCCAGCGGCTTTCCTCGGGTTGACTGATCTCAGAACACGCCTCACCTCGTGTTCCTGCACCACAGGATGGTCGGTGTTGGAGGGGGGAGGTGGAGGAGGCAGGGCTGCAGCAGTTCTCTTCACCTCAAACCGTGCAAAGAAGTTGTTCAGCTTCTCCGCCAGTGAGGTGTCTGTGTTGACAGTGCTGTTGGAGCTGCCTTTGTAGTTGGTAATATGTTTTATCCCCTGCCACATCCTGCGTATGTTGTTATCTGTGAAATGGTCCTCCACCCTCCTCTTGTAGGCCTCCTTTGCTTCCCTGATGCCTCTCTTCAGCTCCGCTCTTGCCAAGCTATATTGCTCCTTGTCCCGTGATTGAGATGCAGAGTCCCACTTTTTCAGCAGACGTTTAACCTCTGCAGACATCCATGGTTTCTGATTGGGAAAAGACCTGATGTGTCTCTCGACAGTAACACTGTCCACACAGTGCTTGATATACGCCAAGACAGTCTCTGTATGTTCCCCCACATCAGTGTAATGAAATAAATCCCACTCCGTCCGGTCAAAACAGTCCAGGAGTTGGGACAGGGCATTGTTCGGCCAGGTTGTAATAGGGCTAACCCTAACCCTAACCCTCTTCTCTTACCAGAGTCCTCATTTCTGTCCTGTCGGTGGCTGGTGCTGCCTGCAAGCTGAATAGCTTCGTCGGGAATGAGCGGGTGTAGCCAGGTCTTGGTAATAATCATCACGCTGCTGTTCCGGACGTAACTGTTTGTAGTAATGGTCAGCTCCAGTTCATCCATTTTGTGCGTGATTGATCTGGCATTGGTGAGGAAGATGCTAGGTAGGGAAGTCCGGTATGGTAGCCTCCTTAGCCTAGCGAGTACGGAGGCTACCATACCAGACCTTAACCACAGGGCATCATGATGATTTCGGAACAACGGGACTGGTCATTTTTCGTACTGCAGCAGTACATTACTGCTTCACTCCCTCCATTGTTTAATTTCTACAATAAAAGACTAACTTGAACTACTCAAAGTATTTTGCTAAGAAACAACTCAACAAAATAAATTACACAAATCATAAAAATATATTTTCAGAATTTAGCTTGTATTCCTATGGCTTTGCTATCTAATGTCTGAAACCTCTCCTTTATTGTTTGTCTCTGTACAGCTCTGATGAGTTGTAGAGCTCCAGGTGCCCACAGGTGGTGACAACAGGTTTGTCCTCCATCTGTGACAACAGAAGAATCTTGACTAGATCTCAGTGCTGATAGATTTCATGACACAGTTACTTATAAAGTGAATCACATCCTCATGTATGATGAATTAAGTGGATTATTGCTACATTTGGTCTCATATTTATTTACTATATTGTGGCATTGTACCAAAGTTCAGATAACCATTGCAATGGTGGGTTTGTCTTGCAGTAGTGGTGGGTGCAGTTTGCAGGGGTGTGTCTTGTGTGCTACAAATAGAATGTGTCTGCAGTTATGCATGTCTCAGAAAAATGGCAGAGCTTTCATCATACACCAGCAAGAGTGTTTATTGGTCTGGAGTGGGGCAGTGTATTCTGGTAATTGGAGGCTTTCTACCTTTTGAACAAAAGCAAATACCTCAGCCCTTTTCATGTTTTCTCTGGTCATGTAGCACCAATTTTAAAAGTATTTGCATCTTCCTATTGCAAAGACAACCCAGTTTTTTGAACAGACCATCTTTCTGGCAGTGAAATTCTTCTGTAAGTACATGATTGTTAATAAATATTGATTTTTTTGTATATAAGAGTGAAAATTCTGCAAATATGTTAAAATATTTCATTGACTACTTTTTAAATTATAGATGTTGACTTCACTGATGTGTATAATGCTTTGCAATGCCAAACATTCACCCATGGACATTTATGTTGTCAGAGTGTTGGAGCTGCCATGCAAGGCATATAATTACACTTCAAGAACACTTTGTTACTGTTGAGAGGAGCTGGGAGTCAAACCAACACCAGCCATAATCAAATATCACGTGGGAACTAGTCAAAACACTGATTCAGAGGTGGTGGATGATTTTGCTCAGGGCCACAGAAATGCTTGTTCCGGCTTTGAAAATGGGGATTGCTTTTAAACTGTTCTGCCATGTCCCTGAGTTGAGTGAAACGTGATTCCTATGATGAGGTTTTTATTTACAAGAGGGAGGAATAATCTGCCTCTCTTGTTGTGTCATGCCAGGCTGCAAATAATCCCTTTGCGTGTGTGTGTGTGTGTGTTTTCCCCTCGGAGCATGTAGGCTACAGATGTTCAGCCCCCTCTCTCTCCCTCGCTGTCGGTCTCTCCCCTTTCCTCTCTCTCTTTCCTCTCTCTCTTTCTCTTTCTCTCTCTCGTGAGGATAAGTGCAGACCGTGTATAGCATCGCACACACAAACACACTCTTCTCCTGCAGCCTCGCGCGGCAGACAGTCTGATGCCATGACCGAGGACACATCCATTCTCTGCTGAGAACCATGCGCTGCCGGCTGAGCCCTGCTGGAATGAACGGACTGAAAGGAGCTTTCAAGAGACTCACCTGTGGATTTGCGCCGTCAAGATGCCTTATTTGACCAAACCTCTGATTTTACTTCTATGTCTGGTTATTACTGGTGAATGCCGTAAGCACGGCCACCGGGTGCGTAGATGGACCGGTACCGTGGAAACGCAAAAGCATGGCACGTAAGTGAAAAATAGATACAAGATGCCAAAATGTGCAACATGAAATATTTTTTTCAACTGAATTGTCATTATCACTACACTTATCAGGTTACATTAGACAGTAGGTAACCGCTGGACAATGTGAACATTATTTAGCTGGGATCTATGCAATGATGGTTTTAAGATGCTCCAGAGAAGTGGATAGATATGTATATATATTGAATGATTTACATCATCTTCCCTAATAAATAGAATAAAAAAAAGACCACTTATCAAAAGAAACAGCTATCACTTGTGCCAAATCACCTGTAGATAGTCAAAATGTATTATGGAGTACCATGTTATAGTATCTAGTATGTTATAAAGCATTGGGGTCATTGTCTTTATACCTTCTTTATTTTTCTCTCAGTAGTATTATTTTAGTTGTAAAAGATGTTTTCTTTACTGCTTTTGTAAAAAGCGACCGTTCAAGTTTGAACTTTGTGCACTGCATAAATGAGGTGTGTCAGCAGTGGATCTCTCAGGCTTTGTTTCAGAATATCTTGTTAAAAAGGTGCCCGACAGTTTGTGTATGCAAGATCATTAACAAATGTATTGATTCCTTTGTGACATAGAGGAGTGGAAATAATAACAATCCTATAAAAAAGTAAGTGAAAGTATTTAAAATGGTTAATGGACTGCAGCTCTGTCAGGTGGTGGTGAAGCTGCCTGCAAGACTCTTGATCTGCTCATCAGGAGAACTTTGGTATTCAGAAGGACACTTTGACATACTGTTGGAGCCTGAAAGCATCCATCATTTGTTCAAATACCTAAAACAACCAGCGCTTAAGTTAAGCAGATTAAGACCTCTTGTGGCTGTGTAAATTATGACATTGACACTGACATAGAGCTTCAAAACCTTGTAGGGTGGAGGCTAAGGTGGGTGACTGGATCATCAAATCACTCACTTAAATGTTGGAATCATTGTCCCAGCTCCGACAGACAGTCAGCAATGGTTTGTCACAAAATGTCCACTTTTAGTTATGACCATGATCTTTTCCCTTAAACCTTAATCTAGTAGGGTTTTTCCTCTTCTTTTTTTTTAAGATTGTTTTTGTGGGCTTATGCCTTTAATGGATAGGACAGCGTGTGAAATAGGGACCCATGACCGCTGCAGTGAGTGGGGCGCCGGCACCACTACGCTACTATGCCCCAGGGTTTTTCTTTTAATATAAATCATATTGTCATGGTGTAACAGGAATATTCACTTTAGAATTAATTGACAAATAATGTAGCTTTGCTGATAGGGGCACCAGATCAGAAAATACTCATGAGTCCTTTTGGAAGGCAGTGGCTCAAACCATTTTGAAAGCATTCAAAGTCCAAACATTTTGGCTCTCGCCATCTTGGTTTTTTGGAGAGGGTGAAGATGTGGAGGAGCGAGGGGTGGATCTGACTGAGCCCTTATTTATGCATAACTTTAAGCCTTGATAAAATGTAAACCAGTGAGTTGTTTAAAAACTCATCCCCATGCAGTTGTAATGAATGGGGAAATCAGTCACAGAGACCGAAACTGTTGTAAACATGTTTATTTCTGCTGTAAAGTTGGGCATTTTGATGTGTGGGTATGAGAATTGACTGGCTTCTGGAGTCAGCCTCAAGTGACCGTTAAAGGAACTATAGATTTTTGGAACTTGAGCTTTGGCTTCATCTTTCAACCCTGGAAGTTGCCACTTGCTTAAAACCTGTTTTGTTGCTGAGTTTGAGGGACTTATTGCAGTATTAGGAGGATCTGGGAATCAAAAAGATTGGCCCTCTAATCTGTATTATTCTTTCAACAAATGCCAAAAAAACAGAGAGGCTTTTGGCGGGGAGGTGTACTAAGGTTTGAGAGTCCAGTCTCTGTGGTTAGATTTAGGCAACACTTTGTTGAAGATTGTGTTCTTGATTAAATGTTAATAAACATCTTATCTGTACCTTGACCAAGTGCTGGCATAACGGAGAAGTGCAACACCAAACTTTCATTTTTGTTTTCTGTTAAATGCCTGTATACCTTTATATCAGTCTGTGATCCCTCTCTAAATTGGTGGATCCATTAATGCACCACAGCCAAAGCTCTCCATTAGTTTTCTTGTTCCTTAGCAGCAGTTTTGGACTCGTTGGATAGATAACTGATCTGGAGATCCATTCAGAGCTTATTAGATCAGAGAGGAGCAGCTGTTGCAGGTGAATGCAAATGTCAGACCCAGCAGACTGAAAGGTTAAGTGTTAACTTTCAATATGCCTGTTGTTCTGCTGCTCCATCACTGCCCCGAGTGCGCTCTGCGCTCCAACAGTGTGGTGCTACAAACAACCGATTGGTATACATATTCCAACAGTGCTCCTAAAGAATAATCCAGTTCCAAAAATAGAAAATATGTTTGTTTTAATTTCGGTGGGTCGCCACGAATAAATGTGTGGAAAACCCTGGAAGGAGAGATCACATGAAGGCCGAATTGGAAGATAGATGTTGTTCAAGCAAGGGGGATGGAAGCTGAGGGATAGGAAGTAGGGAAGGAAGCATGTGCCCGCCACTTTACATCAGTGGCTCATGGAACTTTACAGGTGCGTAGGAGATCACAATGTAGCCTGGGTTTGAAGGTTGTGGTACAAGAAATGGTGCTAAAAAGTGGGGAAAGGGCCATTGGACCTCCTTCCACTTTTTTCCCCTGGCCAACATTTAGTTTAGTCATGTATCACAACTGGACTGATCCCATTACAAGATGGTCTCTAGTTTATTGATGAGTTCAGTATCAACATTTTTGCAATTTTGGGTGCTGTGGGGGCCAGAAGTAGGGGGTAGAAAGTAGAGAAGGGGCCATTTGTCCACTCCACCACGTTACACCACTGGCTCATGAAACTTTACAGGACATCACAATGAAGTTTGAAGGATGTGGTACAACAAGGGCACTGAAAAGTAAGTGCGTAGTAAGTAAGGAAGGGGCCATTGCTCCCTCCAACATTGTCAATTAAATTAAAACTGTTTTCTTCTTGTTAAATGATATAGATATATGTTTCTTTATAAAACATTGCAAATTTTTAATTTATTAATGTCATTTCTGGGAGACAGGGTTAGACATGACACAAGAGACCACCGTTTGCCTCCCATCTCCTACAAACATTTTTTTTCATGACCACAATTTTTCTGTAACCTTAGCCTTGTGGTGATTATTTCACTATTTCAGTCATCTTTTCATATTTCATCAACTCTTTTTGTTTGTGGCTAAATCTATCCAAACTATAGCCATTAGATAGAAAGAAGCTATTGGTAATCATTTTTGTAATTATGATATGCACAATCAATGCTGTCCGACTGATTGAAAATGTTCATGTGTTGTTGGGGAGGACTGTTACAAAAAATGTATGTTGTAGGACTTGTTTGAGCCAAACTGCCAACATGATGGTAACTTCTCAAACTTGACTTGGCTCATGAGTTAAGCCACAGTGTTAGCCATGATAAAAAAAAGTCTCTATGCAAGCTAATTACAACAATTCTTACAGAGCATAATAACAGCTTCAACATTAGTGAACGATCAGATTGATATAGGTTTCAAATCATTGTCATGCAAAACACAAACTTCAATCCAGAAAATGTGGGAGATGAAAAGACTTGGTGCTCAGGCTGAGCCAATGGCAGTAACTCAGTGAGACTTCTTTTGACTGCAGGAACCCTAACCATATAAGTCACTCCCACTTCTGAGTCTGTTGCACCAAATGTGCTGCATTCCAACAAATACAAACCCAAAATGGAGGGCACAATATTTATCTCTTCTTCTTTGCTCGCTGGTAGAGAAAACGTATATCTGTCTTTCATAGCTTTGCCAGAGCATTGCCATGTGAAGCTCATCTGTCCTTAGAGGTGATTTAACACAGCATGTGGTCTAAACAGCTCCACCGCCATCACTGTTAGAGACACTGACAATTACCACAGCTCGACTTTCCATTCAACCAAGGGCACAAATACAATTTTAGGAGTGGCATGTCTGCAGTTAGGATGACTGTTTTGCTTGAAAATGGGGTTGATCTCAACATTTCTATACATTTGCATTTTCTCTATTGTGATATAATGATGAGTTTCTGTGTGAGCTTTCAGTTGCTGACATTTTATGTGTGATAGGAAGTTTGGAATGCAGATGTTATGCACAATAGAACACTGAAGGTGAGAAAAAAGAAACAGGTTGTTCTCAGTTCTCACAGCAGATAGGTTCAGTATTCTCTGGTGTTGATGCTTTTTATCTGTTCAGAACCAAGCCCCAGTCTACCAGCTGCCTAACTTCTAACAGTGAATGTCATCTTCCTCCAGCTCCTTGCCAAAGAAGCCTCCAGATGTGACAAAGTCTCGGAAAACAAAGACAGAGCATTTGCTCAAAGTAGACGATCATGACTTTACCATGAGGCCAGCATTTGGAGGTAGGTGTGGAATGCTCTCCTGTCATTTTTTTATTGTGTTTTCAATTAAGATAACTACTTCTGTTAAGTACAGTATGTATGTACGTTGTAAAGTGATGAAAGTCACATAACGTTACGTAACTACATGAAAAACTCAAGTATGTTAGATGAAAAGAAGCCAGTGATGAATTTTAGTGTCTCACAGGACACAAACAGTGATCTCCTGGGTGAAAGTCTGGTGTTTGTTTGACCCTTCTACAATCTTGACCTCCTCCATTGTGGACTTTCTCACATTTTATACTACCTATGGCAGGAGTGTCCAAACTTTCTTGACTGGGGAACAGATTAAATGATGTGAAAATACCTGCGGGTCACCTGCTTCTCTCATCAGGTGGCTTTTTATTCAGTCACATCATACAATGAGACAAACCCAACAGTTTCATCTTTTACTGAAAAATTATTAAACTTTCCACTGCCCCTGAAAGCGGCACATCTTGCTGTCAACATTACTCGTCTTTGCTGTGGCCATGTCTATTACCTAGCAGGAAATGTCTGCTAGGTAACCATTTGTTTGCTTGCTTACCATCTTTTAATGGAAAGTTCTGCCTGCGTAGTTCCTACTTGTTGCCTGTCCAGAGACTGTATGACAGTGCTGCCATCGAGAGCTGAACAAAAAAGGAAAGCAAGCTTGCTTGATTAACCAATAACGTGTGGCAGGCCACATATAGTGCAGTTTGAGAGACAAGCCATGGGCCATTTAAAATTAGTCTGTGGACCATGATTGGCCCTGGAGCCGGACTTCAGCCATGTCTGTCCTAGGGGCTGTAACATGAAACCCCGCCCATTGGGAGACGTTGTTGAACCAGGGAATTCATGGGTCAACCACAACAAAGGATTCTATATTGACTTTCTATTGGCATAGCTGCTGTTGTGCTGGAATCTCAACACATTACATTCCACCATGTGTCATTTCATGTATTTCTGTGAAACAAGATTGATCTTTTTTTTTTTTTTTTAACCACATCTCATTTGCTTAATTGCTGGCTTGTATTGAAAACTCCATTCACTGATAAAGACCTTCAGTGATGTGGTTAATAGCTCTAGGAAAAGCTAGTGGATGTCTGGCCAGTCTTTTGAGGAAGAACAGTGTCAAAATTAATACAGCAAGTTTGGTCGTCCTGATTTATGAACTTCCAGATTTTCAGAATCTCGAGAGTCTGTCATTCATCAGCTTTTTTGTTGTTGTTGTTGTTGTTGTTGTTGTTTTTGTTGTTCATTTGTTTTATACTGTTATTTGTGTGGAGCTCAAATTCGAATGTTTGATCTCAGCAGCAGGACATGAGATTTTGGTCAGATATCTCTCTCTGAAAGAGCTGGGTCCTGATGACACAGCTGTGTTTTTTTTTGTTTTTTTTTCGTGTTTATATGTTATACATATGACATCTTCATATCAAATGTATATGATATTTTCATGATATTTTTCTGTATTATTTAGATATATATAAAAAATAGACTTAATTTCCATTTGATAGAAAACACTGACTGCACCTTTCAAAAAAAGAAAAAAATGAGTAAAAACTCATTTCATTTGCAATTTATTTTACAATAAATTAAAAAAAAAAAATCAACTGTTGCTCACATTGTTTCACATATTGGTCTTTGACATATCAGTCAATATTAACTTACTGTCAATATATTGTTGGCTGATAAGTAACAAGACTCTCAGTACAGAAATGCCAAAGACATGTTTGAGGTCATTTAAGTCCAGTTCAGACCAAAGATGCACAATGGGATGAAACTGTTTTAGAATGCTGCAGAGAAAAGTTGCATCAATATGAACTGGCTGGTCTGAGCTCGACTCAAGCCGTGTCACAAGCCTGCAACTCAGCTGGTCAAATCGCCAGCTACGGGTTTTACAACATAAACCATGTCACCTGTTTAAATAGCCAATTGGCTTGTAGTGAAATCCACTGGTCAAGCCAAAATGACTGCAGACAACGTGTTCGCTTGCTGCAGCAGGTGCTCCATTACTGCTGAGCCCTCTGTTTCTGTCCTTATAGTGTGCCGGTGTCAGACGGTAGGTTGCTGCTGCTGCTGCTGCTGCTGCTGCTGCTTCTCTCTGTATGTGTTTATGCGCTTTAGAAACGGTGTCTCCATTACATATTTTGCACACCAGAGAGCACTGACATTCTTGTTTACAGTGTCAGATTTCCCTCTCAGTACATATCTTGATCACAACTGTTAAAGTACCATATTTAAGTGATCCTTGGGAAAAATGGTTGTTTTTGCTTTGGGTTTGTGTACAAAAAAAAAAAAAATATATATATATATATATATCAGCCTATGTTGTTAATATATTTTGTATTCAGACTGCAGATTTTTGTAGTTCTCAAATTCCAGTATTTGTATTGGCCGTAGGCTTTAATAGAACGTAAAAGCTTTAATATATAAGTCGAAAAGTGTGCCAAGGGTGTAGGAGAACTATGGTGACTGACGTGAAAGTGTGAAAATATGAATGGCCCTATCAAGAGCCACTGTTTGATTTGTCTGTTCTGGGCTACTGTAGAACAACATGGTAGACTCCATGAAAGAGGACATGCTCTGTATGTAGATATAAACAGCTCATTCTAAGGTAATAAAAACATAATGATTCTTACAGCCAAAATAGGAAGATCCAAAAGTGCCGGATCCTACATTTCTATCAATTACATCTATCGTTTGCCTCCATGTGTCTCATAATTGATCGGTCTTTGTTGTCCAGAACCCAACCAATCAGCAGAATAAATGTTGGCATCGTACATTGCTGCAAAATACAGATACATTACATTTGTATGTCATTATATAGCTGATACATTGCAACTTTATGTTAAAACTTTTTGTTTTGACAGTGCTGGTTAATGTGTGGTTAGGTTTAGGCACAAAATGATCATGTTTTGGCTTAAGATAGCTGGTTTTGAGGGCACGATCCCCGCTGGAAATGCAGCAATGTCTCAGTAAAAAAAACTACTGCTTTTTGTGGCACTACTCCTGCTGGAAAAACAGCCATGGATCCCTAAAACACCCACATTTGGTGACTGGAAGGCCACTTTAAACACAGCATGGACAAATCAGTTCTGTTGTTTGTTGATCTCAAATAGTGGTCTGCAGCTTGATAGATGTCTCCATCATCCACCATTCTCTCCACTTCCAGATGACAAAGTCAGCTCATACACAACATCAGTCTAGAAATGTTGATATGATTTGTATGATCTGTACAGATGTAACATTCATGGTTTGCAGAGATGTACAATGCCAACAGTTTCTTCCAGTGAGTGGGCTGCTAGACCTTTGATGTTACGCCAATTTAAAGTATCATCTCCAAGCGTGAAGCATCTTTAGCCTGCACCTGTTTGGACTGAGTTTAACAGACATGTTTTTTGTTCTGCTGGCTGGATCACAAGAAAAACTAGATCTGAAGCTTTTTTCCCAGGCTGACAATCTAAATGTTTCTCCTGGGTTTTTAAGATAAATTTCTCAGTGTGATAGATGCTCACACATTAAGGAGTTGTTCCCTGAGTTATGAAATATCCCACTGGTGTTGTTCTGTGTGCCATCTAAAGACAGCAGTTCACAAGATGTTTCACAGTGTTGTGTTCAAGCTGCATGTCTTGGTATCTTTGTAAGGCATGAGTTAAAATCTAAAGATAGCAGTACTTTATCATAGAAATACTTCAGAACATAGCTTAAGGCTAGTTCTTTGTTGATATGCTTAGAAGTGTCTGCCTCTTGTATCTCTTTTGAGCAATCAAGTGAAACTTGTAGGACTGCTCAAAACTCAAAACTTGACTGGGCTTTCATGAAGATATTTGGATACCAGGATACACCCACACCTCTGCTCTGAAATAGGGCGAGAAAGGGAATAAATCGTCTGACTCTTCTTCCTTTTGAAGTTGTACCTTGTTGGGAGCAGAAGTGTAACCGTCATTAAGCGAGATCACTCCTCCCCTGTTAGAGCGATTGTTACTTCAGAGAAAGGCAGAGCATGTAGCAGGAGGTCACAGTGGAAATGGGACTAAAAATAGCCTGGGTACAGGCACAAAGTCCCAGCAGAAAATGCAGGGCTCTAGTTGCATTAGTATAAAGAGTCTCATACTCCATCCTGTTTCCCTAGAAAGGGCTGCCCCCTCCAGATGTGTTTAAACCCGTAGCTTTTTTTATATTGAATAATGCTTTAACATGGTTTTTCCACCAAAACAGATCAGTAAGCTACTGGCTTAGTCAGATCCGAATGAAAGAGGCTGAAAATTGAAAATGCCCCCAAACACACCCCACCACTTCCTCCACATACTGTAGGCAAGCCAATAACAGACTCAGAGCCCATAGAGCAGCTTGTTGTTATCCAAGTTAGAGGCTTGATGTTAGAAAGTATATCTACTTGTTTTTAATAAAGATTATTACAACTTGGTTTTTACTTTTGTAGCTGCCAGCATCAGATTTATCAGTCATGATAACACTGTACTCATGTTGTGACTGAGATCTTTGAATTGGGCAACATTGCTAAAATATACTCAAGAAACACAAGAAAAACAAGCATTTAGTCTTAAACAAGCCTACACTTTACCCAGATTCTCTATATCACTTTATTTGGAAGTCAAACTCAAAGTGATTGCAATTTGGTCTTAAGAAGAATATTACTGTTTGCTTGTTATGTTTTCTTTTCAGGGCTCCATGTTTACTTTTCTACTGGTAGCACTGATGCTATCAACATTTTTATTAGTTTGTCGCATCAGCACCTGATTGGACACACCCTTTCTTTGTTGATATTGTTATTATTAATCTGATAGCCAAAAAAAGGATGAATTAATTGAAAAATGCCCACCCACAGCATTACCTGTTCGGTTACATTTCACGAGTATTCAGGGTTGGGAAATGATCTAATACTAACAGTGTTACATATTTAAAATACAAAATATAAGTAACTGTATTCTGCTAGTTTAAATTGCCAGCATTCTGAATACAGTTACTGTCTTTAAAAATAGATT